CTTGTTCGTGGTTACCTTTAAATCAGGAAAGAACCAATCGCTGCAAACTTCGCCAATCGATTCTTTGGCGAAATTTGCTGCGATGACCTGTTCGTGGTTAGACTTTTAAATCAGGAAACAACCAATCGCAGCAAATTTTGCCAACCGAATCTTGAGCAAAATTTGCTGCGAAAGTAGGAAGCAACCCATCATCGCAAACTTTGCCAACTGATTATGGGCAAAACTTGCTGCGATTGACTTGTTCGTGGTTACCTTTAAATCAGGAAAGAACCAATCGCTGCAAACTTCGCCAATCGATTCTTTGGCGCAATTTGCTGCGATTGACCTGCTCGTGGTTAGACTTTTAAATCAGGAAACAACCAATCGCAGCAAATCTTGCCAACTGCTTCTTGGGCAAAGTTTGCTGCGAAAGTAGGAAGCAACCAACCAATCGCAGCAAATTTCGCCAACCGATTCTTGGGCAAAATTTGCTGCGATTGCTTTGTTCGTGTTTGTTTTTGCGTCAGGAAGGAACCAATCGTGGTAACATTTTGCAAACCGATTTTTGGGCAAAACTTGCTGCGATTGACTTGTTCGTGGTTACATTCAATTCAGGAAGGAACAATCGCAGCAAATTTTGCCAACCGATTCTTTGGCGAAAATTTGCTGCGATTGCTTTGTTCGTGCTTATTTGCAAATCAGGAGAGAACCAATCGCAGCAAATTTTGCCAGCCGATTCTTTGGCAAAATTTGCTGCGATTGCTTTGTTCGTGTTTATTTTTAAATCAGGAAGGAACGGTAACATTTTGCAAACCGATTTTTGGGCAAAACTTGCTGCGATTGACTTGTTCGTGGTTACATTTAAATCAGGAAGGAACCAATCGCAGCAAACTCGCCAACCGATTCTTTGGCGAAATTTGCAGCAATTGACTTGTTCGTGGTAATTTCGCCAACCGATTCTTGTGCAAATTTGCTGCGATTGATTTGGGTTGTATTTAAATTAGGAGGCAGTAATAGGATGACGCATCAAAAAATTGATAAGCATCTAAAATTTTTTTACCACGGTAGCCATCAAAAAATTTGACCATGGCTTGTAAGTTTGAGCTCAGGATTGGGGACTGTTGCAATGGATTGCGCGAACGCTCTGCGAAAGACTCCGCGAAAGCTCGAGTGTTTCTTGAAGGCAATACGCCGCCACAGTTTCTCACAGCAGCATTGCGTGAGCTCTGTCAGAGGAAGTTCGGACGTAAAAACAGAGATACCTCGTGAGGCGCCATCGTCCGAAGCCACGTTTTGAATAGATGCAGGAGGCGGCCCGTAGATACCATGGCGATGGAAATAATTTTTTGTTTTCAAGCCTGTATGTACGTACGTACGTGCGTGTTTGTGTATACTGCATGTATAATGCATGTATGTACATGTGTTTATATACATATACACATATGTGTTATATTATATGTGTGTGTGCATATACATACATACATACATACATACATACATATATATATATATCTGGGACAGGGTCCTCTAGGGTGCATTCGGCTCCGCAGATATGAAAGCATACATCCGTATTCGAATTGTTGGACGTATTTGAATCCTCTGGCCTATTTGAGAATCCAAATAGTTCAATTAATTCAAACCAGGGAACCAAGGTTTTGAATTACTTGAGTTCTCGGATCCATTTGAGAATTCAAATAATTCACACAATTCAATTCCCTCATTTGAAGTATTTGAATTGTTTGAATGCTCAAAGGGGCCCGACAATTCAAATAATTCAAGTAATTCAAATCCCTGATTCCCTGAATTGAATTCTTTGACTTATTTGAATTGCTTGAATTCTTACATGGATCCTGGGCAAAAGAACGGGTGTTTGGATTGATATATTTAAATCATTTGAATTCTCTGGCCTATTTGAGAATTCAAATAATTCAAACATTTCAAATCAGGGAGCTCGGCTCCATTTGAATTGTTTGAATTCGCAAAGGGACCCGTGAATTCAAGTATTTCAAGTTCCTGATTCCCTGAATTGGAGTATTTGATTTTTTTGAATTATTTGAATTCTTAAGTGGATCCTGGGCAAAAAGACGGGTGTTTGATTTGAGAATGCAGATTTTTCTTGATGCCTATCAGACTTTCTTGATGCCTATTCACTACCACGACAACCCCTTTAGGCTCTGCAGATCCTCTTTACTGCACATTGCACCGTATGAGCTTCCAACAGCCTTACAGATCGAATCCAAGTACTGAGGACCCGTTCAAGCTAGATGTTCGCCATGCAACAGGTACGACGAAAAGGCCCGGAGTTCAAATGTGTACGGGCTGCGGTGTCAAACGATGCAAAGGTGCAGGAACTCATTCTCTTCAGGGCATAATTTAAGGTTCACGGCTTACACTTACAAGGTCTCATGGAAACAGCTAAAAAAGCGATAGGTTTTAAGGCTCGCCTGTCTTTTTGAAACTCAGTCGATTGAAGATGCTAAGGCAAAACCTATTTTTAAACCCTGTCACATTGCCGTTTTGTATAAGCCGTTGACACGGACCTTTACAACAACCCTCATTTAGGGCTTGGGGCTTAAAGGTTTTGGTCTCAGCGTTTAAAGGTTCAGGGGTTTAAGATTTAAGGCTTAGGGTTCAAGGCTCCAGGGTTTAGGGTTTCGTCTCCGGCAAAAGGTTCCTGTCGGATTCACACTTAGGGTTTTCAGTGTTGGGCACAACTCTCGCTGAATTCACTCCTTACGGTTTTCGTCTCAGGACAAACATCCTGCTGGATTCACGCCTCAGGGTTTTCACCTTGGGTAAAAGGTTCGTGCTGGATTCACTCTCTAGGGTTTTTCGTCTTTGGATCACGGGTTTAGGGATTAAGGTTTACGAGTTTTGGATTTAGTCTAGGGGTTTGGATCAAGGGTTCAGGGTTTAGGGGTTAGGATTTCGGGCTCACGTTTCGGGGCTTTAGGGCTGAGGGTCTCGAGTTTCGTTTTGGGCAACGGGTTCTTGCTGGATTCACTCTTTAGGGTTTTCGTCTTTGGGAAAAGGTTCCTGCTGGATTCATGGCTTAGGGTTTTCGTGTTGGGCAAAAGGTTCCTGCTGGATTCAGTCTTTGGGGTTGTCGTTTTGGGCAAAAGGTTCGCGGCGGATTCACTAGACAGCTGAGATCAGTTTTCTGCGACTGTCCGAAAAGTGCCTGCAGAGCTTGCTTGGGGTGGTGGGGCTTTCGGCGCGTACAGGCGGCCAACTTGTGAGTTGGGCTCGAGTTGAATAGAACATAAGACGAAAGTTGCACGACTGATCAGCAGAGTTTGTAACTGGCTTTATGCAGACACTAGAAGCCCTGAGCCCTAAGCCCTCCCTGCCACATGCTCCTGTCCCCTGCCCCTTGCCGTGCCCATGCCGCTGGCCCTGCCCCTGCCGAGGCCGCAAGGGATTTCTCGTAACCACGCAAACGGACAGTCTCTGTAACACGTTGTACTCCTTTCCGGCCCCAGGAGCCCCAGCGTTGGTGTGCGGTCAGCCGAACACGGCATAGCACAACTACAGCATTTGTCGGACAGATGCCATCAAAGAGCATACAGCATGCCACTGTCGGTGCTTTTCGGCACACTTGGAAGCTTCGTCAGTTCTTGAGGACGATGGAGACGCACATGTCAAAGCGGCAGAATCGACCTTTCCCTACCGGTCGGAGGTTCCGGGCAGGGTACGGCAGAGCAGGCCTCATTTTTACGGTGCGGCCGCGACTTGCCACTGCACCTTAGACGCAAAAGGTGAGTGCACCTTAGACGTCGTGCCCCACCCCCGCCCGCTGCTACCCATAAATCCTGCACTCTCGCAGCCTGATACACAACCACTCCCATCTGCTTGGTGAGACACAGGCGAATCTCGAATGTTTCGCTAATTCTGTTGGCATTAAAAGTCAGACACTGCCAGATCGGCTTTGCGTCTTGGGCGCAAATGCGGGCTGCAAGTTCAGTGGCGTGGTCGGGAAGGAGTTGTACTGTACTGCTTTGCAGGACTTAAACTTGAGCAGTGCCGCGGAATTTCTCTTGAATCCGACCTCAAGGCAACAGTCCCACGATCAGGTTCCAAGGCTTGAGTCGAGAGGCCTGTGACCCAGGGCCACAGACCCTTGCGCGGACTTGGGGCAATTTCGGCCTGTTTTCTCCCTCCCGGCCCCTATCCTTCATCAATGGTCGGAGTCGGAATCGAACTCTCTGGATCAAAGCATGTTGTCCCACACCATAACCTGTCTGACCCCCAACGACGGCCGAAAGCAAAACTTGTTCCGCATGTCAATGTACTTATCGGGCCCATCTTTTCTCGTTCGTGGATACCGGGATACAGCAGGACGGCTAAGAGCCGTCCTGGCCTTCCGGCAAGTTGCGATCGAACGCACGACAGCCCCAAGGAGATTGCGCCGCACATCATTGGTTTCCCGAGGACATGCGCACCAGCATCCCCAAGGAGCCCTATAATGTACACTGCTGCAATCTTGATACTCGTAACATCTTCCACTCCCTTATCCGTCTGCATGCTCGAGTGCCAATGCGCCTGCTAACAACATTACAGCCCGAGGTGGGAAGGCATTCAGTCATTGAGTCATCTCAGCAATCTCAGTGCTCTCTGTCCTCAAATAGGGTGCGCCCTTGAAGACGTAGCCCATGAGTCCCTGCGAACGGTCAACAACAGGCAGCCATTCAAAGTTGATGGCTCGTCCATAGGCTAAGCGAATGCCGTAACGCAGCTAAGTTATTTGAGTTGCTCGCGGAGCTGCCTTGCGCGAGCTGGAAACTAATGGAACCGGAGTCGACCGGACCATGTTCTTACGCTGTGCTTGGGCTTGACTTCGGTTATCCTACCAAGGGCAGCTAGTCAGATTGTCTCGTGATTCTCGCGGTCGGAAGATGTCGCAAATAATGGTTCCGATCTCCCCCTTCTACTGGAATTGATTGCTCAAGAAGTGCCTGTGACTCTATGACCATTCGTCTAGGCTGCCTGGATTCAGTCCTATTCGGTCATTCTTCCAAGGCCTCAGCAGTGATCTGGCCGCATTTCCCGACAGAGAGCTCCCGCAAGCCGAGCAATCCTGCCAGTGGAGGCTTCCACCTCACAGATGTCGCTTTCGCAACAAACCAAGGCTGGTGAGGTCTCAGGGCGCCACAGGGAGGGCGCAAAGGCACTGTCCGAAATGCGAGGGCACCCGTCGAGTCGCAGGACTTCTAACCGCTCACAATGCTGCAGGACCTTCCGACTGTCATTGTGGATGCATGTCTGCATAAACATCTCTCACACCTGTTATGAGGCTGCAGCATCTCTGACAATTTTGTTGTCAACCTGTTGACATGTCCTCACATCTAGCACGCAGAGATTTGGACAGGAGCGGCCGATGGTGCTCAGGACCTCAGAGTTTGTGCAGCTTGTGCCGCGAAATTATGGAACCCAAGCTATGAGGCTCTGGCACACCGGCGCAGCTGAGCTGCGCCTTCAAGACCCAATTTCTGTGTCTGACGCGTCAGGGAGTATGGTAGTACCTGACCCAGAAACGCCGCAAAATTGCCCAACTGCTTTGAAGGGATGGGCAGCACACGTTGTCATTTAAGGCATTCCTGGCCACGAGTTCAAGAATATCTCTACTCTTGAACTCGCAGAATTCCCAGCCTGGCCACAAGGATATCCAGGAGGGCCTGCGCTTCAGACTGGCAGTTCTGCACTACTTACAGTAGGCTCTGACTCTATCCTGCTCGGTTTAGCAGGGCTTCGAGAGACGATGACTGACTGACCGCACAAGCATCGATGCTGCCACAGTAGTCAAGCCTAGCAGTTAGTATGCCATGTGGCACGACTACCGGCTAAATTGGGTTGAGTTGAGTTCCTCGTCATACCGACCCGGACAGCAGTCAGACTTCTAACTTTGGGGTCGTGGCGTTCAGCACGGATTGCAATCTCTTTGGTGGTTGTCAAGTGCAGTCCACAACGAAAGCATCAGTTCTAGAAGAACAGCAATGCGCACCAGCTCTTGCAAAGTATGCGTTGCGGCTGACGGTGAATCCTCAGCATTTCAACTTTCACATGTAGAGATTGTAGGCACGACTCTGACAACCGAAGCTGTGACATGTGAAGATAGGCTGGCTTTCTACGAGGGTGTACTGCTACAGCCCTCACGAGGACCGCTTCTCCTGCTTTAGAACAGACCCTAGTGACGACTTAAAGTTCGTAGAGCTCGGAGATCTGCCTGCCGTCTTGTACAGCAGGTCAGTTTTCATTTGGCGACTTGGGTTCACGCCGACTCACTGTTAGCGTTCCTTGACAGCTTTGCAAGTAAGCTAACGGAGCAGCTCAAGCACCCGCACTGACTTCTGCGCCTCCAGAGCTCTCCGAGGCAATGCAGAGAGGGTGGTGTAGCGCACCTCTTGCTAGATTGTCAGAAAAGCTAGGAGATCACTGCGAAATGCCGAGCTGGATTCAAATGGTCATCTCTTGCATGACCAAATCTTGAGCAAGGTACCCGCTTCGGACCGTACTTAATCAGGTTCTGCGCGAGCTTCTGGACCTAAGCAGCTTATTGCCCCGACCTCCCCGGAAGCCAGTCTCGTCTGCACATGGTCACATTGACAATCCTCGCACAATTTCGCTCCCGGTTTTCAGCCATACCTCAGAAGCACCCAAACATTCGCAGCTCAGACGTTTCGCAGGCACCAACGAGTCAAACATGTCGGCATCCAAAGTCCGTGTGATCCCGAGCCTGCCATCCTCCTCCCGACACTGCGCGACCAGCGTGCAGAACCTTGCACCCTTGAGTTCCGTTACAGAGGGCTCCCATCGAACCAACTTGTCTGTTCACAATTCGTCTGAAATGTACCGGAAAGTTCTTGAATTCCAGCACCGATACTGGCAGCCGCAGGCTGTGTTGAAAGAAGTTCTCGCAGACACCCGCGCGTGCTAGGATCGAGAAACCGTTATCATGAGACAACAGTGCAGAGTCGGTCCCGACCCATCGCGAAGATAACTTGCACGGTGAGGAGTGGTGCATCGTGGTCACACTGTGCTGAGAGAAGCCAGCAACAATGACGAGATCCCAGCACACAGCTGCAACAACGATGGTGCGACCTGCATTGCAGGTCTGGGGGGACCTCCCAAACCTGTCGAGCAGGAAGCAATACTGACATCAAGCGACATCAAAGGAGAATGAAGCTATTCTACGTAGACCTTGGCCTGGAGGCAGTGAAGCTACATGGGCTCCATGGCGACAAGAACCAGCTCCAGATTCCCTCGCAGGCTCCCTCCGCTGTGGAAATTCTCATAAGGATCAGATTCAATCTAGTAGAAGTCGGTCGAAATACCTGCGTATACATACACACGGTATATGACGGCATCTAAGTACATACCATACCAAAAAATCTATACATGCCTGCGTGCATGCAAAAAGCCATGATTAAGAAATGCATGCATCCATGCATACATACACACATACACATACATATACATACAGGTACTACATGCGCATAAGAGTACTTTGTGCATCCAGTCTTATGTGTGCGTACAAACACGTTACGACAAGTGTGCGCACAAGAGTGCGGTGGTGCGAACTAGGTGTAATTGCTGCTGGAAACGGGAACTGAAACATGCAGTCAGCCAAAAATTGCAGATTCCGCATGATGAAGACGCACGGGCTGGAAACGTCGGCACAGTGTGTGATGCAACTGGTGCTGCCATGTGCTGTCCAGCAACAAACACAAGTGTCCGAAGCCAGCTACAGTACCGTCAAGATCAGTCTTTTCATGCTCATGCGTTATATATATATATGTGTGTGTGTGTCCAAGTCTCACAACAGCGAAGCTGCTGACAGCCCAGTGCATGTAACGCTGCCCCTTGCAGCTTGACGTGTGTGTCAAGCAGGAAACCTTTGCGAGTTGGGCTCTAAAGCCGTGCTATCCTGGCATGCAACTTTGGCAGCCTTCTGACTAAAACTAAGGATTGACAAAGCTCATCATCCTGCGGTCAATGCAATCATCTGCAATCCTTGAGCGCTCAGTCTCCGAAGAGCTGCCAGACGCTCACCTCTGCAAGGGGGCAATGCCGACACGCGTCCGCGGACCTTCTTGAGATTGCCTCCACGCGGTCGAGGAAGGTGATCTTCGTGCTGTGTGACAGCCTGAAGGGGAAGAGACTTTCGACGCGAACGGAAAGAGGTTTGGCCGAGCTTCGCTCAGCTTCGGGCTGAGACTCCAGGGCAAAATGCTTCAGATGCAGCCGCGACGTTTCATCCTGTGGACTGGCACAGAGAAAGCTCTACCCCAGCGATTAACGTCGAGTCCAGCTTCAGGTCTGGCAACACCAGCTCTTGCACGTCTGGGAGCTCCTGCGACGAATCTTGATAATCTTGTCCGTAGTCACACAAGATGGCAGGTAATTCGCAGCGCATCCCCTTAGGACTGCAATGATGGAGCACCGTGTCCTCGACCTTTTGGATCACGACAAGTATTGAATTCCACCGCTTTTGACAGCTTTCTGGCTACCCCCAACTGATGCTTCTGACAAAATCACGAGACTGGCCTCCTTTATCGCCCTGCCCAAGTGGCGTCGTGCCTTCAGCATGTCACTCAGAGTTGGCAAGTGGAGGATCGCGAAACCAAACACCTCGAACGGCTGTTTGGGCGGCAGGACACTCCTGAAGATTTGGACGCTTGCAGCTTTAGGGTCGTGCTGCAACGCGCGTGTATGTGGCACGGTCCAGGGGAGAAACCTGGGAAACACAGACACACACACACACACATGCTGCCATAGTCACATGCGCCTGGAGGCCCTACAGCCTTGCCTTCCGCAGCTTCTCGAGCGCGTGCTCTGGGTCACCAAACAGGTGCGCCAGATCAATGAAGAAGGTCTCCAGCTAATTCTGAATCTGCAAACGTTCTGAGGTCGACTAGTGACTAGTCACAACCTCCCCTGCCTCAGCGTCTTTGTGCTGGCTGCCTACGACTTTCCAGGTGCTCGCACAGCTTCATTGACACATATTGATTAATTGACCTGTTGAGTGTGGGAGTCCTTTCGGCTCTGGCGGCAGCCGTTTCAAGGCAGCAGTTGGCGCGGCCTCATAAACTGCCTCGTGTATAGCGACTTGATCTGACACAACTCGCACTCAACGTGAAAGCAGCCGCCTTGGCAATCCGATGCCGACACGAAGACACCAAAGGAATTCGATGTTTGACCTGTCGTTTAAAACTGTGACAAGTTTGAGATGCCCTGCTTGGGTTAGCAGATTGAGCGCACGCCGTTTTGCTTACCGCCACCCTCGCATCTGTGCGCCATTCCTCATATCGAGCGCTGATCAAATCGCTGAAGGCGCTCAAACTCACTACGAGTATCGTTTGCTACTAGTAGCCATTTAACATGAGACTTGTGGGGCATTTTGCAAGATCTTGCAGGCAGTAGCAGGCACGAAGTGCCGCTACGCTGCGATTCCACTCTGCTGCAACGAGAAACACGCGGAATGAATGATTGTTTTCCTTTGTTTCATTGATTCACATTGCTTATCACTGCTTGGGCTTGAACGGGCTGCCTGGCTTCCCAGCACAGAAGCACCCTAGTGGCCCGTAATTCGCCTCCATTCCCGCCGGCTGGCAACGACAGATGCCGGGCAACAGCAGGCCGAGAAATTACATGTAAAGCCGGTCTGGTCTACACAGAGGCTAGGGGCATGTTTTGGAGGGCTGCAAAAACATCCGCCATCGCTGTTTGATGTATGTGCACATAGCACCCGTGTCGAGTTCACTTTTCTTGACAACCGTTGATGTGGCCTAGCGAGACTGCTACAACTGTCGGACCATCTTATGAGCCTGATCAGCTCATCGCCAAGCTCTCTCCATCTCCGCAAACCACTTGCAGTCTGCAATGCTATGTTGTTGAATTTTCACACGTCCGGGCGTTTACTGGTGGTGAATGGAAAGTCACATTTCAGGAGAATCCTTGATCTCACCGGGTTGAAGCCAAATCTGGCTGTCCTGCAGTACAAGGCAGATACCTCAGCTGTCAACTTGCTGTGGAACTCAGCGAGGCATCTCCTTCATGTTCATAACCACGCGGTCGGCCTCTTGGATTGGCGAGACTGCAGCATTCCCACTGCTGCCGCAGAAGCACGGGCCTGGAACAACACATCTTGACCTCGAAGCTGCCGGGAGTTGAAACTCTCTCGAGCTAGATACTCACACCAATCATAGTCCGCATAACCCGACTCAGGCAGGAACCAATGATTGCAGCGGCACCTTTGAATGGACCGATTTTTGAGTCTTCTAGTACCTTGGTGTGCACTGTGACATGCTGCAACAAAACATGCAACATCACAGAGCGGCTTTTACTCTGTCACCATCTCTTTGCATCGCCTCCCCTCCAACGGAGAATTGGCTGCTAATCTTGCAGCTGCATGAGAGCTGGACTCAATGTAGTCATGGCGTGCTGGATGTGTGTCAGCTTTACGCATGAACGTTACGAAGTGTGAGGAAGAAGAAGGCACTAAGGAGAAGAGCCACCGACAGTCTACGGCCACTGCGGCTCCGGTTCCGCTTGAGTGCACAGTGTGATGGAAAGTGGCATCGGGCCGATGTCGGAGCTTTCCTTGTGCACGCGAACCCTGTGTGTACGACTGATGTTCTGTTTCTTGCTTGCGCCTCTTGACTCCAGAAATGCTCTGGTTGTCGACACATTGCGATGCACATGGGAGGGAACGCGTGTTCATGCCAGCAACATTTTGTCAAATGCCTTCCGTCCAAATCCAGCAGTGCCATAAGAGTCGTGCGGAAAGCCCAAGAGGATTTCCAATAGCAACCTGAGTGCTCAAAGCGCAGGCTGAGGCAGCCAAGGATAGCGGAGGAGTCTCAGTCGCCAGCATCGATGGCGCCGAAGTCGACGCACTCGTCGCCGCCGCTGAGGTCCTTCCGGATGGTGCGTGGACAGAACCCAACTCCAATGCGCCAGACAGCACACATTGCATGAACAGAGCCAGTCCGCAAAGAACCAACCTAAGCAGCCGAGCCGGCAGGAGCATCTGAGTAACACGGGCTGCAACTCACGGCATTCTTTCAGCAGCAGGCCGTTGCCACCTTTCGCCTCCCATTCCTCCTTGCCCCATGCTGTGAGATCGCAATGTGAATTGAACGTGCCACTTCCTATCTGACGGCGTCCTTCGAAACAGACATCATCTTAGGCCCAACCTGTTCAGCTCCAAACGTGCCAAGCAACGCGGAGATGTGCGTCCCCAGACTTTGAGGCTTTGGCTCCCTCCGGAACGCTGCAAAGGCTCAGACGTACTCGAGTCACCGGCATTTCCTTCTCAGAGCTCTGCATAATTTTGGAAAGGAAGAAGACAGCCCAAGGAAAGTCACAAGATAGCTACAGTACAAGCATCCCATCTTTCCACCACCCGTAGGCTCACTCACTCTCGTCCGGATCCATATTTCGTCGTCCTCAGCCTGTCCATCTGCGGATGCGGCCAAGACCTTTCGGCGTTGAGCCAAGGTGTCATCCGTGCGTCAGAGGTCAAGTGTTGTTACATGTTGTTACCCTGTGCTACCCGGTACTGTGCCGGGCCTTCGCTGCAGACGTGAGGCGCACGTCGGACGGACCACTGAAACCGAAGAGCTTGGCAGCCTCCCAATTCAGCACCTGGCTAGAATCTGCTGCGTCGAACAACTGCTGGTAGTTCCAAGCGCAAATTTTAGGCAATCACACAAACACGCTGGAGGGTCCGTGTGGGCTGCGCTGCTGTCCAGAAGGCCAATGAAGGAAGACGGTGTCACCGGAAGATCGCCCTGTAAACATCTGGGAACACAAAGGCACAGTAGCACTATCAGTGACGACACTCGTTGCTTTTGCCTCTTCACTCATAGCAGCTCCCTTGACAGCAAGCCCCAGCTGGCTCTGCGGCAGCTCTATGCCAGGGAGGTGCTTCACACCGCTGTAGAAACCTCGGATGCTTGCCTTGCGGGCCATTACGCCTGAGTCGCAAATCGCGTGGAACACAGCTCTTGGCTCACCAAAGCACCTTGCGACGCGGCGTCTCCTGGCGTGTAGATATCGGCGCGGGCACGATATCGGTCAATGTCCTTGAAGCGCATCTACGTACTGCGTCTTACCTAGTTACTGCTTCTCAGACCACTCCACTACCGGGACCATGCTTCAGCTCAACTGCTACCAGTACAAAATTAAAACCAACCGTGAGCAGCGATTGGCCCATTGGCTACAGCCGCACCATAGGTGTCGGGTTCACTGGTGGATACTGCTGAGATCAGGTCGACGTCATACTGTGTGAAGAAGGGCTTGCCTCATAATTGGACACTGTTGGCTTTGGGAATGCCTTCGAGCAAAAACGTGGTATACAACACTGACCATCAAGCTGCAAAACTTTGAGGAGCCAGCCCAAAATACCGTGCACCTCAATCCCGAGCTGTTCTGCAAGCTGCGCCTGCCACGCTCGCACTTCTTGAAGCTGTTCGTGTACACTGGCTAGCGGCTAGCGCCTGGGGAAAGTCCAAAGTGCTACATTCGCCCAGGTCAGCAATTGTGGAACCTGTCGGGCAAAGCATTGCAGCAAATAAACATTCAGAACTTCATCTGACGCAATCGCTGAAGTTGCCTGTCTCCAGGAATCGCACGTCTTGCAAGCTGACTTTGTTGGCGGCCTCAAAGCGTGAAGCGACGAACTGGCGTCCGACTGCGTGAGGCCACGCCATGCCGGCCTGGGCTTCCGAGAGCCAGCCGCCGGTGAACTTTGCACCTGGCAGTCGAACTGCAGCGGCACATCCTCTCACGAGTCATCTTTGCACCTTCGACATCAATCAGCCCTCGCCTGGCCGCGCATTGAGACGGGAAGGGTCAAGAAACAAAGCTGGACCAGAGGCCAAACAAAAAGCCCAGCCCCAAGCATTCCCAAGCCACCCGCGCTCCGTTAGTGCATTTGTGGGAAAGCCAGAGCCGAGCATGAAGGTAAGAGGCTGCCGCCTTGCGCTGGAGGCAGCGACCATTTCCAAACAGAGTACCATAAGTCTGATCCATCGCTTCCGCACTGAGAAGCAAGCCCCTTAGCAACTTCAAACCGCACAAATTCAAAGCCGGCTCCAAGAACTTCGTCGGGCAGCCTGCGCCCGGACAGAGATGTGTCTAGATTCTTCGAGCGGATCCGGTCGGCAGCCTCACCATCTCCACCTCATTGAGAGGCGTGAAGGATCCGAACAATGTCAGAGCACCTTGCACTAACATGGACTCTTGGTGCCATATTATAAGTTGGGCACGATCCGGCCGTTGAACGATGTTGAACGGCCTGTTCCTTGCCGAGGCCAAGACCCTTGCCGTGCCCAAAGCAACTGCCGGAGCCGCAGCCGGAGCTGCAGCCTTTGGCTCCTGTCGTTCAAAAGGGCCCGATACGAAGGATTCTTCATCGATCCGACGGACCTCTGCCATGTTCTCCGGAACTTTGGCTGAGCTCGACGTCGTCACATCGTCTGGACTCAGAGCCGCATCCCGTGGCAAAGGCACGGGATCCGGCTCTGTCGTCACCTGGCACGGCTGCAAATCCCTCCACAGTGGAGCTGCAGCCTTGTCAAAGCAAATCGCACCTGGATTGCTTCAACAATGGCTTTGCCGCGCCATCGCCCAGCAATGCCCTCTCGATGTTTGCGAACTAGGGCAGGTGCGAATTCCACGGTGCAGGCGACCATCGCCTGATCGAAAACCCAGCCACCGGCCACTTTGAGGTAGCCTCTCGCACAGCATCGCAACAGTCAAAGCCAGCTGCAGCTTCATCAGTGCCTATACCATCGTCTGATGGGCTCAGTGCCTGCAGTAGCCCATCAATATCGTGAGTCGTCAGAATGGATTCCTCTGCGTGCTTGCTGCTGTGGCCTCTGTGGCTTCAAACACCTCTCCTGCACTGAGCGACTCACCTGCAAGACCACTAATAACCAAAAAGCGCAGACTCACGTGCTGGGCATTCTTGCAGCTTCGGTACCTGTGGGTTCCGAATTCGTGTCCGGCTCCTGGTACCAAGCGTGAGAGGTGGTGATGTAGAAAGCATGGGATTTCGAGTAAACCATGCAAAGTAGTCAACATGTGTCGTCTTCTCCTTCATACTAATGAAATCCATCGTGCCTCTCTGCGGCTCAATCAGCCTATGTGCCGCTCAATCTAAGAACATGAACAATGTAAAAGCCAAACATCGCTAAACATCCAGCACTTGCGAACTTCACGCAGCACCCTGCTACACTCAGCCTGGAAACCACCGCAACGTCTCATTTTTATCTAACAAAGACGGCTGTGAGATGCAGGTTCTCATCTTGAGATTGAAGTCCACTCGTCACTAGTCATACTTCAAGGTGCTGGGGCCAACTGCCGAGAAGGTGTGAATCTGATATCCTCGGACTGTCAGAGGCATCGACCACACAACGGAATTCGGGGGTCCAGGCTTGCAGCATATCTTCAAATGGGCCTAAACAGCAAAACAAGGGCGGGGTAATGTAACTCGAAAGGCTGCAATTCAAAATAAAACTGTGAACTTGACATTGAGCTCGCCCGAGTGGCCGCCAGATGTCGTGATGGTGCCGCCAGTCAGCAAAGGCTTCGTGCTCTTGTACCGGACAACGACGATGCCCGAGCCACCCTTGCCAGCCACTCTGCATTCGGGATCGGTCCCACCGCCACCGCCTCCGGTGTTTTCCTCTCCGTCTGTTCCTGTGAACTTATCCGGATTCGAATCGGTGGTGCTGCCCCAATCGCTCCCTTTCCCTCCACCACCCTTGCCACCAGCTCCTCCGCCGTTCTCAACCGCGGCCTTGCCATTGTCGTTCACGCCGCCGCCTCCACCTCCTCCGTACCACTTCAGCGTCCCTGTGATGTCTGAGGACACGCCATCACCTCCCTTGCCGCCCAAGTGCAATTGAGGGGTTGTTTCCTTCGTTCTTTTGAAAATCACGCGGAATACAATCGAACAAACATGCATGGCGCAGGCAAAATGGTGAGATCTTGACAACGGCCGAAGGCTCACCACGACCACCGGCTCCACCTCCGCCGCCCCCAGAACCGTAGCCGGAACGATAGGTATGGCCTGTTGAAAGGCTTTGCGACACTTAAGAAGATAACACATAAGAACAACATACCGCCAATCCGAGCAGATGAAGCATAGTGTAGACAACTCGTACTATCTACAGTATGCTCCTAGTCGGTTACAACATTCATCATAACTGCAGTTTGTGGCTGTGGCCTCCTGGGAAGCCCTGACCCGGTGTGCCGCGACCCGGCTCCACCTCGTTGCAATCGTAACAGATACCACCGCCTGGCGCCCCATTTTGAGACTATGACATGCTCCACATGAGCATCTGCTTCACATGGCCCTTACGTTGAGGAATGCTTAATCGGTTTCTTGGCATTTCTAGCTAAAGTTTACAGTTGTTGATTTTTATATAGGTCATTGCCTGGAGTGTTTCGAGGCTGCAGGAGTTTAGGGTTGGGGCGGAAAAATGTTGCACCTGAGCCTCCATCACCCGGCACTCTGCGTTGATCTGCGCCTCCAAGGAAGAAAATCATGTAGACCCTCCGGAAGACTGGGCTTGGTTAGCTGAGACCGCAGCAGGGGCTGTGCTACTCCTGAAACACCTTGTCTGAAAGTCATGGGCTTCGGCATCGCTGCCTTGCCCTCCACCAATAGCGACCAGGCTCCCAAACTTGGAATCTCCTCCTGACAGGACCACAAGCAGCCCCAAGCCTCGAATCCATCAAGTGCTCCGGGGGGAACCCGAAACAACAACATGTCCCAAATCCGAATAACCCCGAGACCATCTCCTTTCGTCGCCAACTTGGACTCTTGCATGTCTCTGGCACCGGTAGAGCCGCCCTGTCCGGACCGTCCACCGTCCCCGACCACAACGCCCCACTCCTGGCGAGAGAGAGTTAGATAGAGAAAGCGTTTTGACTTTTGGTGACCACAAAGGTTCAGGAATGCTGAGGGTTTGCAGAGCTTCAAGTCTTTGGCAATGGGGTTCAATAATTCGGCAATCTTGCTGCCCGGGCACAGTCCCTTTTGGGATCATCTTGGATCCTTTGATGACGCCGCCGCCACCGCCACCTCCGGAGCCGCCACCACCGCCGCCGGCCACGACCAGGAAGTCAACTGGAAGCGTTTCCTCAGTTGTTTCCCGGAAGCATGACGAAGTATTACGAATGTTCTCCTCCTGTAAAACAGTCGATAAGTTTATCGTTTGGCAGGACCAGCTCGACCCACTTGACGCCGATCTTCGCTATAGTCGATTACGTTCGGCAGTGTGCAAACCTCTCGGTGTGGCAGCCCGGGTGCTTCAAATGTAGCACAGGGAGTTCAGGTTCGTCTGGGGTTTTATCGCAATCCTAGCTTGGGCTTGCCTCCGAGTGATTCAACCGTATGGCCGTAAGTCCTATCTTTTTACTTTCCCCTAGTGTCCCATTCGCTTCTCGACGCGGCCCGCGACCCCTTCCAAGACGCTTTCCCCGTGTGTCCGGCGCACGCGTGTCTCGCGGACGCTTCGCGAACTCAAGCGCGCGGCGTTTTGTCCACTCCTTTCATGGAACCCCTGCTTTTGAAACGAGAGCCCTTCTGCAAAGCATTCGGGAAACACTTAATGTATGAAAGCCGTTAATTAGTTGGGTCTGGGAATCCCAATGTTCGAAGTCGACTTTTTGCAAACCTACCAGTACAACACATGTATAAAATTATGCAGAAGCCGCAATCGCATGTCCAATTAAATGCAGATCCTTCCCCCATCTTCCCCCTGTTCTATGCTCAAATTTGTCTGCGGAACCATTGTTTACAGGGCCCAAAACGACGAATAAGGCAGGCTCCCTTGTCATAGGCTCGTTCTTGTTGTTGTTGTTGCTATTTGTTGCTGCTGCTATTCTTCTGTTTTCTGTTGAATAATGTTGACTTTGCACATGGGCTCAGTAAACTCAACCCATTAAATTAATGTTCCTGGTATTGTTGTCCATGCGGTTATTAGTCTCAACAGTTTAATCATGATAAACATGCCTAAATGCTCTGAGCCGCACGGCCTCAATCCCTAAAGCTTTGCATTCGGAAATTGCACTGCAGAGCTCATGGATTTGTGATTGCGCAGATGCACTAGGTCCGAGGTCGTGTGTCCGATCATAATGTTGTGAAGAGATAGTGAAGGAAAGCTACGTGCGTGGCACTGCTGATGACGATAATGATGATGACGACAGTTTCCTTCTCTGATGTGTTTTCGAGACGTCTCTTTCGAATCCGCTTAGGGTTTAGGCCTTTGTGGGTTCGAATGCGACGCCAAACAGGTTGAAGTGCCAAGTTTCTGTGCCATTGTCGAAAGCCAACGCATCTTCTCCTGGAATCGCAAAGGTGTGTACTTGGTAACCTCCAACCGATGCCACTTCTCCGCCAACCAATACCGGCGCGGTGCCCGGGTAGCGCACAATGACAACACCAGAGCCGCCCATGCCTGCATACTTCGACTCCGGGTCCGTGCCTCCTCCACCTCCTCCGGTGTTCGCTTCGCCATCTGTTCCGGTGAACTCCCATTGGGAACCGTCGGGACCCGGATATTTGCTGCCGAAGTCACTTCCACGTCCTCCGCCGCCCTTTCCTCCAAGTCCACCACGACCCGTCAAAAGCTGACCCGTGTTGTCATTGATTCCTCCACCTCCGCCTCCTCCATAAAACTTTGTTGCGCCAGTGATGTCTGAGGAAATGCCGTCACCTCCCTTGCCAGCGTAGTACTTTTGAGGGGCATCCGCGCCAGCTTCACCAGCACCACCACCACCGCCTCCGGCGCCGTATTCTTGCAGATTCGTTATGCCTCCTCCATGCCCTTGGCCTGCGGTGCCCGTACTCCGTGCGACAGTAGTCCGATCAAAGCCACCGCCACCACCGGAGCCTCCTGACCCGCCAGGCTTGCTGATGTCCGAGCCCCCACCTCCTTGGCCTCCTCCCTTTGCGACGACCTCACCAAGCTGAGAGTCACTGCCAGCTGTAGGAACCAAAAGCGCTCCGTGTCCGCCGCCGCCGAAGTTGCCTCCGGCCCCCACCACCACCTTCAACGCCTGGAGCTTAACGGAGGCGACTGCTCTGAGATTCCCAAACCCCTGAGGCCTAAGCCGGACTCGCAAACCCCGCCTTGCTTGGATCCAGCTTCTGCTTGCCCATGAGGACACCTCCACCTCCTCCACCGCCCGACCCTCCGCCGCCGCCGCCTGCAACAATCCTGGGGTCTGCTCAAATGGGAGGACTGTGGAGTAGCAGCATGGGGAATCAGGCAGCCAAGACGGTGATATACGGTGATTGTAGCCAGGGTTCCATAGCTTGTCACAGTGTCTAGGCTACACCGTCCGCGCAAAGAAAGCAACTAAAGGAAGACAACCACTAGGCCTTGAACCGTGTGGAACCTATCATCACAGGGTTGATTGTATTCAATCGCCTCTCGACCCTCACGGTTGTGCCGAGTAGCAGGTACTCGAGAAACAGCTCCTTATTCACGGGTCTGCAGGAGGCATGGAATGTGAAACCTAAAAATTGCTGAGTCCTCTGTTCGTCTGTGCAACGGTTTCGAATGATTGGTCCATCGAACGCCCATCAAACTTGCTGAAACGGAAAGAACCAGCCCTTGCCCGCTGGTCCAGTCAGCCATGCCAGGAGCCCAAGCCCACAGAGCGCCAAGCTGCTGATGAGCGTGTGCAGCGTTCTCCGGTAGGCAAACAAGCAGTCTTCGAGCTGCTGATGGCGCATTCCTTTCTGTGCAAACAACACGTGGCGGTTTAACAGTTGAGGGTCCAGGGTTATTGTGAAGTCGACGGCTGGTGTCGACCAAGCAATCGTTGCAACACCTAATCCTTAAACTTAAACTTAACAAATTGGAGTTTCCTGCAGGTAGTGCACGCCCCAGCCCACGTAAGCACCCGTACATTCGGCCAGCGAGACATTCTCGCAACGCGCGACCCACGTCTTGCTGAAGGTGGTGGTGCAATTTGGTGGATCCGGCACGTCTTCATGACTTTCGCGGGTGCGCAGCTGTGCGCCCCACACAAATGATAAACTTGCTAAAGTCACGACACCGCCGGCCACACCGCCACCTAGCTTCATTGCTGGGACTCTAAAGCAGGATTCCCACCACCCACTCGAGCCTGTTCTGCGACTGCGAGCAGCAAAGCTTTCACCCAAAACGAACAAGTCCCTCGATTCGGCAGCATATTCGACAATTACACTACATCTCCAACTAGCTCTCAATCCCAAGTTTCAAGCCCCAAAATCTCTATGCCAGAACAATCTTAGACGCTGGTAACTTTAGAACAATCCCCCGAGGTGAGGCCAGGAGTTGCACTGGACCCGGACACTTCCCGTTTTGTCTTGCTTTGCAGATTTGGGGTTGGCAGAATTCCGAACCGAGACTATTGAAGTCCCCTTGCTGTTTTGGAAAGGTTGAACTCGCCGGACTCTCTTCGGAACTCAACGATCAATGTCTGCCATTAGCCGGGCCTTTCTCAGTCGAATCTTTGTAAGCGAGCGATACCTCAGCATCTAATCTAAATCTGCTGCTTTTGCGAGGCACAGAAACAGAATGCGGGCACACGGCTACATTCTGCTACAGTATGTCGAAGTCACATGCTCCAGGCAGACACGACAATGACAGTAAGGTATGGACTTCCCGGGGAGGAGCGCTGATGCAACTGCGAAAGGGCACATGCCGCATCATGCCGCGTAGCTGTAACAATCATGACTCGCGCAGCAACAAAAAGTTGCCTAGCCGGCGAAGCCGAGATGGTTCATCGTTCAGCCTGGTTTTCGCCAGATCGGTACACGCATGTTGCCAAGCCTTTACCTGGCCTCCTGCGCCTGACTTGGGCGCTGAACGGAGCCAACAAACCTGTGCTATGGATCACAGTACCCTGACACCCTACTACGTTTTCTGCAAGCGGACCTGGTCGCGAACAAAGTGCTAATTGGCATGCAAACCAGGAGGCACAAGTCACCTTGCAACGTGGTCGCTCGTATAGCATATAGGCACACTCTACCAAGCTGGACTCGGGTACGAGCTGAAGCAGCAATGCCAATGGCTATACTCCGAAGGACCTAGCCGCTTAGCCAGCACAGAGACATTCTGCACACGCTTCTGAGATGCTGTGAGTGGGATCGGGGAAGCAGATCCGCTGAAGCGAAACTGAGAGAGACGCACGACGACGAGGCTTCGGCTTTGCCCGGAGGGAGGATTGCTCTCGATGGTCCTGAAGCTGACCATCAGTCAACACCCATGTTGCAACTGACGGAGCTATCCGAGCTGCCCGGTGCGCCAATCGAGGACGGCCGTCCGGCTCCATGCCACGAACTGTTGATAAAAATTCAGCGTGGACTGATGTTCGACTCTTTTTTTCTGTACCAGCGGTAACTTCACGAGTTACTCGGCATAGTTGACGACAGTGTTGATCTGCAGTCCACAGTCTACAGTCTACTGTGTTCCACTCGTCTTGAGTCGTGGCAGCACTCGCGAAGATGCACTGGAGATGTGCGCAGCGATACAAGATGCAATTGACACAATGACCGCCCAGCAAGCATTTTGCCATGAAGATCCAGCAGGCGATCCGCCGCGAACTATTCTGCTGCTGTTTTGAGGGCTCAGCGTTTCTGCGCGCCCCTTTTCAGATGATGTGCTTTAGCTTGTTGTTATAGTCGGCTTGCAGGTTGGCGCCTCAGAGGGAGATGAAATTACAAGCAGACGCACCCAAGATGGGGCCTGCCATCCAAGCCTGAAACAAGGGGTCCAGCTCGAAACAGCCTCCAAAGATCCATGACCTGGATAGGCATGCGTTCAAGCTTCAGCCCCTTTGAGCTTTCAATCTTCCTCCCACAAGTCTTATGATGGAGATCCCGCACATCGGTTTGGGATGGTCCGGCCTTAGCGCCTCTGGTCTTTCGGCCTACATGAAAGCTCCCCACGTATCCGAAACCCACCCAACCTCAGTCCCGAGTTTGTTCGGAGAACACTGAATCGGCTTCAAAGCGCCTAAGCGATCCCCCCAAGCAGCAAACGCAACCAAAGCAAGGTGTTTCGGAAAACAGAAAGGAACGCGGGAATGACAGGCACGATAGTTTTTGGATGTTCTTGGAAGTTTTGGATTTGTCTCGGTTTTTCTGGCGGGCTCAGGAGTTCGAATTGAAGATCCAGCGTGCGCACCACATCGCCAAGACATACAACACTCACACAACCTAAGCCCATGTTTCCTGCTTCTGAACTTTGTCTCCAAGGTCTAAGGAAGCTGGCGGTAAGGATGCCAGTGCAATTCGCAAGCTTCGGGGCCGCGAATTGGCGAGATATTCGCCGGCTCCGCCACCGCTGCCAGGTCAGTGTCCGCGCACGGCGCCAAGTGCCCAAGTGGCCGTGCATCACCAAGAGACACAACAGGCATGCAGTTGTTTCAAACAACAATGCATCTGGACCAACCCTTACATTTGCACGCTTAGACGCATCGTGATCCAGTGTTTGTGCATAGGGTGTAAGGTCGGCACGGCTGGCTAGCTTCGCTGGGTTGCTCACCAACTTGGCCTGCAGTGAGCGGATCACAGATAGGGGGTGTCTTAAAGGGGGATCATGGGCGGGTGAAACCCTATAAACACTATAAGCCCTATAAGCCCTATAAACCCTAAACCCCAAACCGGTTTCGAGTCAGAAGTAGATTGCGACACAGGGCATCGACCCGAGGCTCGGCACCCTTTTGACAAAAGAGGCCCACGAGTTTCGAGTGTCAAGCCATGGCCATCTCAGCAAGTGGGCTCATCACACTCCTTGTGTTGGTCTTCCTGGGCCCTGTCATCTTCTTGGTTCGCTGCATTGTGCTTCGCAAGCCCGTTGAGGTTCAGGTGAGCACAGGAGACGATGGACAAGAGCACATGAGTACCACTGCCCATCTTTTTGCCTTCCTAGGCTACGCCATCGGCATCGGGAATGTTTGGCGCTTCCCCTATGTTATCAGCAAGAATGGGGGTGCAGCTGCTGTCATCGCCTACGTAGTTTGTGCCGTTCTTGTGGCTTGGCCTCTCTTCAGCGTAACTGCCTGGCCCGAGCTCACGGTGCCCCAGAAGGGCTGGACGTAGCTGCGGAAGAGCTCTTTGCTGAGGCTCAGATGGACAATCTGGGATCACAATTTGCTGATTTAACCCCTCCAGGGCGATGATCCGAAACAACGATGCGGGGACACAAATGATTTGTACCGACATCATAAAAAATCTGGGTCACGCCGCCTCCCAAGTTGCAAGTTGGTAGCACAGTCGCTGCTGGAAAACTGCTCTTTCACGGCCCAATGGATGGACGAAAAAGCACCTGCCTTCAGCATGGCCGAAACAAGTACCAATCCTCTTGTCAGCATGTTGTCTGGTGGGACCCGGAGAGGCCAATACCCCTTAATTAAGGAATCTATCTTAAATCATCATATCAAGGCCCCCTATAACTTAAAGTATATTCCTTATTTAATGGGGTATTGGGCTCTCTGGGGAGTGGTGTCAAAGGGCCACTGAAAGCACGGTCTCGAGCCAAGAGTCTCTGACGGAGAGGCGAGCGGAATCTGGATGGCATGCCCAAACAGCGTGCGATGGAGGGTTTCGGGATTAGGGTTTCGGGTTTAGGGTTTACGGTTGTACAGCGCGAAATTCGGCTCTCTGGTCCTTGGCAGTCTGGATCATCTTCGAAGCCTGGCAGGATCTTCTGATATATCCCAGGATCCTTCTACCCCGAAAGAGAACATCCGTGTACGCCAAGTAAGAGATTGCGGTTCTTATACCCGCAAGCCAGAGCCCTCATTTCGTTTAGTGTTTGAATGCCGTAGGTTGACATGACAGCAAGCACAAACAGGACCCACGAAGGGCTCAGTGCTCCCATCCCACACCCACGGGAGGATCTAGAAAGTAGAACCTGTAATGTGGGAACCTGAACTACTAAAGGGTACTGCATAGGAACCCTTTCAAAGGAACTCGACTATAGAACCCTAAAGTGCCCTTAAACGGAACCCTCTTATAGAACCCTGTAGTACCCTTAAAGGGAACCCTGTAAAAAGTTATAGAATCCTATGGAGCTTGGGCACTGCCCCCCATACAGTAACAGTCTCTAATAGGGCTACTATCCATATTTGACTATTACTCAACTGTTACTCAGTGGGGGCAGTATCCGAGTTAGGAGTAAGGTTATTATTAGGGGGTCCTTTTTATAAGTGTGCCGTACGAAATTGTGGACCCAAAGGGGACCCTAATTTAGAGAACTACCCAAATGCAATTCCAACCTTAAACCACCTAAAAAGGCGACCCTAATTTAGAAAACTAGCCTTATAATACCCTTAGTCGGAAGAATTCTGTGGAAAGGGCGGGGGGGTCGCTGTTGCTCCAGGAGCTGGGACACGTTCGGAATAATTCTCGGCAACCTGGGTCCGCGCAACCCCGGGTTTGGAGGAACTTAAGTGACTTAAGTGGTCCTTTAAAGGTAAAGGCCGAGACATTGGAACCCTGAACCCCTAAGCCCAGAAACCCCTGAACTTGGAAACCCTTGACCTAGAACTCTAAATAGGTTCAACATGGTTCAACCCAAAGCAACCCTGGCCCAGTCCGTACCCGGGTTGCCCCCCCGCTTTCCAGACCCGGGTTGCAACATGACCGGTTTGAACATAACTATTCCGCACCCCCCCTTTCCAGAAATACACAGCTTCCACGCCCAAGCCCTTGATGAAGTGCTTGTCAAGCTGCTCGCGGCGCAGCAGAGACTACACTTAAGCTCTTCATCTCCCCGAACACGCTTGTGGAAGCCGGAAGGCCCCGTTCTGAATGTACTAGGGTTTAGTGTTATGTGATATGTGTGTCGTAAATCCACAGAAAGAAGCGGTGCAACGGAATCACTGGAGCTTGCGCGCATTGGAGCGAATGCGGACCAAGCTGAGTAAAAACGAAGCAGCGGCAGCTCCATGTCAACAGAGTCTCTCGATTTCTGCTCCCGAGCATGACACACGCATGACACACGCATGGACAAATTTGCTCCAGGATAACACTTGGATCTTGCGACCGGGAATCAGTTTAAGAGGGGAAGGCGGGAAGGCATCTGCACATGTCCGTTACGAAAGCTGCCACTTCTCCCAAGAGTGCCGACCTAACCTACGCCTCTGCAACTCGTGCCCCATCCCGCGCCTGCGCGGCGCAGATCTGGCCGCCCTGGCCGCGGTATATCCACCTGAGGCCACGTCTGGTCAAAATATGCCGGCTCACTGCTCAACTTCTGGATTTTCGAAAGTGCAAGTCGGATGTGCAGTTTTTGAACTTCAAGTCATCAAGCCGGACTTGCACGAGAACTTTGAATAACATTTCTCAGCGTGGGCCTCAAGACAGTGTCCATGGTCTACAGTAGGACGTCGCAGTGTGCTCGGAACCGCGAGCCGCGAACTGAAATCTGTCGCTTAATACCCATACCGCGTTTGACCCCACTTGCTCCACCTGAGCTCGCTGTTGACTCGTGCCACTTGTGCCACTTGGTCTTTCCGGCTGCACTTCTGCTCCCCATACATGCCTCCCCTCCTTCTCCCAACACCACCCCTTTCTTCCCTTTCCCAGTGTCTCTCGCACTAAACCCTAAACCGCCTAAACCCTAACCATCCCGAAAGCCTAAACCCTGAACCCTGAACGCCTAACCCTGACCCCTATAACCTCTGCCTCTCCCTCTAGACTCTAGTCTACTGGCCGCATATCCTAGACCCACGCAAATGCCACAAGTGGCGCAAGTGGCCCCCACCCGAAGTCGTAGCGTTAGCGGTCAAGTGGCGCATGCCGCTTGAACACGCGTTCAGCTGCATCGTTGGCAATAGCCGCTTTTCAAGTGTCAAGCGCCCCAAGCGTACGAATTAAATGGCGGTTCCCGAATCTCAAGCAATAGGCAGCCAGGACAAAGGTGAAGCCCACCGCGAAATTTCAACTGCCAAGCTGGAGCCTCTGACTGTCAAGCCGCGACTCAGACCTTTAACTTCGTTTCTTCGTCCCTCTTTGACCCCGCATCGGCAGCATGACAGGTAGTTCCAGAACCCAGCCAAAACACAAGTTGACCCCGGAACTCTTAAACTGTCAACTCTGCATCTGCATCAAAAAGACCTCCTGGATCTCCCATGATCTGTCGGACAGCAATTGCAGGGACATGAATTGCACCAAACCGCGATCTGCCCAGGCCAGGTCGTCGGTGAAGACCCCGTGCTCCCGGCCGGATCTCGCGCCCACGACATCACTCTTTCACAAGCTCTCTCTCTCGCGAAGAATTAGCAGCATGTTCACGAGCTCAATGTGACCTGACCTGCAGCGACAAACTGGGAATCAACTCTCTCATTGTGCAATCAAGCAGTCCCCGCCTTTGTGGCATGGCACGAGCCCTTGCAAGAAGACTAAGTGAACCTGCAGGTGCGCATTTTGCCCACGTGCCATCCCTGCTCTGTTTTCGAGGGACCTCCACTGGCCAGTGAAGGCTGGGCTTGCCAACGCAGAAGCTGCAATGCCAAGTCGGGTCGACCTTGCAGAGCATGGAACGGCAACGAGAAGTCCATCCTGGCTTTTCATTCGGCACCTCCCTCCACACAAGCATCCAAGGGATGTCCAAAGTCCGATTGCCTGACAATTCACTCGCACTCTAAAGTTTATCTTAATTAACTAGATCTTCAAGAATAGCCTTGTTTCAAGCCAAGTTTCGGATTTAGAGGAAAGTTGCCTTGCAGGAGGAGTTCCAGCAGGCCCTCTTCGGTGCCGTCCTGCCAGCGTGTTGCGACTCTGATTGGGACAATTACATAGCTGAAGGCTGGCGGTGAAAAGGACAGCAGAGCCTCCAGGATCTTCCGGAATGCCGCCTGCGCCGTTGCCAAAGGCCTCAGTTTGGCTCACAACCTAAACGGACCTAAAAGGCCCTTGGGTTTGCGCCAACCCTGCTAAGCCGCTCAAACTCAAGCAGTTCTGCAAGCTGCCATAAATGTCGATTCCGCGCAGCCCTGCCACAAGGCGCTCTGTGCTTCAAGGCGAACACCGAACAAGGGACCGGTCGAGCCTGGCTAAAGCCTTCGTTGAGCGATGGCAGGCGTGAGCGACAGCCGGCCCAGCCAGGCGCAAAAGCTCCAAGGCAAACATCTCCTGCGTCGTACACATTGAATTGCCGTGCGTTGTCGCACAATTGCATGTGCTGATACACATAGTGTGCAGCAGCTGCACAGTCCGATCGCAGCAATTATAGCACTCACTCGGTGGCAGCTTTCAGTTTACGCGCAGAGTTGGAATAAAGTTGATGCAAAGCATGCTCTCTGTGTGGGCTAGGCGGCCAAGGTTTGCTCCTGGCCGTGAAGAATGGCCCAATCCAGCGGTGTCCAACCGTCGTCATCGCGACTGCTCGGATCACACTTCCTGGGGGTGCTTGCTCGGAGCATGCTCGCCTGATGCTCGCTTGAGTAGAGAGAGTTGGGTCTCAGACGCATCCAACAGGATGTACAGCCTCGTCGTCAAACCTTCAGTCTTCCGCAGTGCTCTAGGTATCTCTGAGTTTGACGGAGGAATATAATATACAAGGCCGATTGAGGCTCGAGGAAATCACCGAGAGCTGCCATCTGGGTCCTTGACCGTGCAGAGCGCAAATTTGCAGAGCACCTGGACAAACCACGGCATTACACGAACATTCCATTGGTGAGCAAACGCGCGAGCGCGAGAGATAGCGGAATGCTTGCATAAGGTGCTGGTGAGAAAAGCTGGGTACAGCGGCTCTGCTTTGCCTGCGCATGCGAAAAGAGTGAGAATAGAAAGCAAACGCAAAATTATCACGTGCTGCTGCGGTACTGCGTCATCTGCGAGAGGCAGCAACATCTCTTCGACACCGCATTCGCGGTTGTCTGAAGTCATTGCCCACTCCAATACCTGGTGCCAAGATGGCGCCGCTCCTAGCTCGGGCCCTTATTATACTGTACAAAGAGCTAATTAGGCGGTTCTCCTGGGAACTGCAATGGAATGTCTCTCAATCCTGTGATCTGAGCACTGTCCGATGTGCACAGCGAAGCTCTGGAAACTGCATCTTGATCAAGTCCAGCTGCGCTCATGCCTGTCTCGTCACGCCAATTGGCATTGGCCTCGTCATTATCGCGTGCTGTTCACATTCCGTCTTGCACACACATTCACAGCAGCTACAGTGTGCAATCACCGGGCAACGTGCGAGCCTTCATGTGCAATAGCAGGCCGCAACGTCGTGTGTCTCCGCTATGAGCTGACGCGAAAAGCTCAAGCCTGGCCTCCGCTCGAAGAATGAACAAATTGTAGACAAGCACACACGCGTTCCAAAGAGTGCCCACACTAACACGATGTACTGCGAGGTCAAAGGAGGGTGCCGGGAGTAACAGGAACCCGAGTAACGGCAACCATTTCTGGGGGTCGCAACGGGAAGGAGGGTAGAAACAGGAGCCGCCCCGGTCACGTAACAGGAACTGTCCCAGGAAAGCCAAGCAATCGAAACTATGCTGGAACTCTTGTGTGGGGGACCGGTTTTCGGTCCCCTACTTTGACACCATGAAATCCATATGCTGACGCCTATGTGTCGTTAGAGGCATAAAGAGCGATTTGGGATATAGGATGCCCGTGGCAACAAACTCCTTGTCTCTGAAGCCACAAAGTTGTTTTTTCAGATTGATTTTGTCGAAGGAATATGGATGTTTTATCTTACAAGAAGGTTCGTACAATGCAAGTCGAAGTTGTCGTACTACAAGCACTACTACTATTGGTGGCGGGGCTAGGATTTTGCACGCCATCATGGACTGACCAGCGCCAGCTTATGAGAGTTTAGGCTTGCGGGTTTTTAGGACTCCGAGGCTGTAGAAGTATTTAGGAGGATCATTGGTTTAGGGGTTTACTGTTTTGGGGGTTAGGGTTGACCGGGTCAGGTTCAAGGGTTCACCTGCCAGTCGAGAACGTCTTTAAACGCTCGAGAACGGCTTTGGGGGCTTGGGGTTGCGCCATACGATCGCGCACACACGTCACGAAATCTGTCGTTTTACTCGCAGCAGACACATGCAATGTTATTCTGGAGCGTTAATGGCAACACCGATGCTGTAGCTATCGGAAATTCTGGATAAAGGTTGCTGTGGACATATGAGCTCAGTTTCTAGTGCTATACATGACATGACGTTTTGAAGCCGTATAAGTGGGGGACCGGGAAGCGGTCCCTGAGTTGGCGAGCCCACAAGAGCAGGTGGATGTGAAACAAGTCATTCTTGGAGCCACACACTGGTTCCTGTTACGAGGGTGCGGCCTGGGGGGGTGTTACTGGAACTGGTGGTTGCTGTTACGGGATCGGTCCCCGTTCCTGCTACGGGCTCCCGTTACGGACATCCTGTTCCGGTTACAGCAAACACTCCATTTGACCATACTGGTGGCATTCTCAGGCGTCATCGTCGTCGCCGCCCTCGTTGGCGTTAGCAGTACTAGTGGCAGCAGCAGCAGCAGCGGCAGCAGCAGCGGCAGGGACAGCGGCAGCAGCGGCAGCGGCGCATCAGCAGTAGCAGTAGTCCAATCGCAGTCGCAGCAGTCGTCGTTGTAGTAGAAGAAGCTTAGTAGCAGCAGCACTATCACCGAGGTATGTAGCAGTTGCAGCGGAGTTCGGCTTGTTCCACACATCTGCAAGCTCGAGAAAGTGCCGGCTTCCATTCAGAAGATACTGCGCCAAAAGACGCTGGAACTGGAAGGTTTCAGACTTTGACCAAAACAATACAACACCAGAATCATCCAGAATCAGAGCTTGGAGCACGACGGCCGGCGATCGTGCCCAAGCAGACAGCTCTGAGGCTACCTCGCAAACTCCACTCCTTGGGGATTCAAATATGTGTAACGTTCTGGAACCTTGCCTCGTCCAGGCCATATTGGAGTGCTGCATGATATAGCTGCACATGATCAGCATCACTTGCAATGCTTGCTCCCAAAGCCTGCTGACATTGCTCACACAAAGGCGAATGACTCGGAAAGCTTCGCAGGCACCATCAATGTACGCACGCTCCGCCGTCGACCATGCAAGATGGCGTGTTCAATCGGCCGGACTCCCAACACCTCAAAAACGGTCTGAACAGGGACTCTGGCAAGTTTTTGGATACCGAGCTGTGGACGGGATGGACTCGATGGATGGATATGCCTGTCTGTGCGACAAGCTGTCGAATATGAGCCTTTCGAAGATGGCAGGAGTCAACAAATTGGAAAATGATGTGTTGCACAACAGCTAGCAGTGCCTGATGCTCTGTTGTGTCGAGGTCAATGCTGCGGAAAAGCTCCAGGAGGGAGGAATGCTGAGACTCAGCACCGAACATTCCAAAGTATGCTGGGCCTCAACAAACGCAGTGTTGGATGCGATGCAAACGAAGCTGCCAGCAAATGCCTTCTGGCAACAGACTTCGAACCTGAAGCTGCTTCCCCATACATGCAGCACACGGGAACGGCGCACCCACAACTCAAAAGGGCTGAGAGTATGACAAGCTCAAAAACCTGGCGTAGGTGCTGCTCACAAAGCTCGGACTTGAGATCAAACCTTGAGAGGGGAATGTTCAGACACGCTCGTTTGGGTGCTGGTGGCCGCACTCAGTTTGGGACACATCCCGGCTAAGCTCAGGCACTGGTGCCGGTGCCTCAAGCGAGCGGCTCACCTGAAGTGTGGTACACGAAGCGGTCAGCTTGTCATCAACGTAGCCCCGCCTGTTCATGCACAGACTGGATTGCGGACTCCATCCTTGGTTTTGGACAAGACTCAAGAATGACGTTGCCTGCAATCCAACTAGAACATCTCTGAAAACGTGTTCTTTGACATGGTTGTCAATTTCGGACTCCTGGTTTAAATGCCTGCTCGTGTGCCACAGGGGTGTGTGTGTGTGTGTGTCTCGAGAATCTCGGCTCCGGACTTTTCGAGAGCCCATTGAGGCAGAGACGGTCTTCCTTCATGGTCGGGTGGAAGGGGTGCCGGGGAGCACGGGTCATCTTGACTCGGCGGCCAAGGCGGCAACGGTGGCAAAGGTGTCACTGTCACCCCGGCCGGGGAAGGTGGAGGGCTTGGTGGCGGCAATGGGACTGGAGGCAGCATGGTCGTACAGCTGTGAAAGTAACACGCAGCATCGGCGCTCCATTCTTGCAAATCGTAGCTTCGCAGAAGCTTAAGGAAAGAGACATATGGACGAGCGAGGTTGTCGCATTTGGGTGCAAGGCTGGCTACAGATCCCGAAAACAAGGGCCACGGGGATTTGCGCAGATGCAGGGGCTTCGTACACATCCAGACAAGAACATTAGAGTTAGAGCCACCGTTTCAATTGACTAAACCGCTGTCAACTCGAAAGCGCCGAGGCTGCAGCAGCTGCAAGCCAAATGAGTGGGTCGGCAGAATGGGCACTGCATGACACTGCAAACGAGGGCAACTGCCCGAACGTGATGACTCTGCCGTTGATACTGATAGTCGGGGTGACAATTTTACAATATGTTTTGCCTTTTGCTTTGTGTGGGGAGGGTGCGGCGGGGCGAGGGGGGGGGGGGGGGGGTTGCGAGGTCGAAAGGCCCTGAGTGCTGCAGGCGGGCAGAGCGTAGGCAATTGGAGAAAGCTGTGCCATCAGCCGTTCATGCATGCATGCCTCTTGACGACACGGCTCCCTGAACCTGCCCAAGTTCAAAAGGCTATCAACTTGCACATCGGCACGAATGCCTGCCTGTGCTGGGAAACGCTTCGCTCGTGCATATGCGATCAGTAAAACATTCGCCATGCGAGTATGGAAAAAGCAGCAGAGCTCTTCCATCCTCCAGCCTTGCCTGATGCGCCGGGCCAGAATCAGAGTCTCTCGTCCTCTGTTCACATTGCTGTGACTGGATTTTTCATCGCGTCCAAATTCACACTACTGCTTGTTTTTGAGCACACCTGTTTGAGTCGATGACGATCGTGATGATGACAAGGACATGCCAAGGATGGTATCCTTTTGCAATCTTCCTCCGAGCCGGCAGGTCTGCTGATTCGAGGGGCAGTCTCGCCCGGGTCGAAGCCAGCTTGCTCAGGGCTCGAAGGTATTGCGAAGGCCATCTCAAACACTCCATCAGTCCTGTCATGCACTCAGCCCTTCCATGTGCTAACTCAACTGCTGTTTGAAATGGTTTTGCACAGCTTGCTCCGGCGGGTCCTCAACCTCTCCCGGGTTAAGCACTGGAATGCCGAACCTCGCCTCGACTTGAGATGCCAACATGTGCAAACATCATGCAATGCCGCGCACTGCCAATCAACACCGGGCCTGTCACCGCATGTGCCCAGTGAGTCGGAGTCCTGTGGCAACGAGACGTGAAGCGGGCATAAAATGGTGGCTCGGGGCTCAGCTCCTCTTGGAGCTTCTCAGAAGGACCAATGGCTGGGACATCCTGTTGCAGGTCCAAGGTGGTCTTGGTTGGTAATGACTAGGAAAATAAGAGCAGTATGAATGTGATGTCAGCTTGTGATGACGTGTTGCCAACCCTGGAACGAAACCATGCAATTGAACGTCATGCAAAATAAGCATCAAGCCACTCACATTGGATAGCTGCAGCTTCATCCGTGGATGAACAAAGGCCCGAAGGCTGTCATGGATGTCCATACACGCCTTCTCACAGGTTTGCGTGAGGTCGTGCTTGTCATCTGACGGGATCTGAACATGATCTGCTTGAGCAAATTGAGCAGGGGGCTCCTTGCATGAGAGATATGCGCATGAATCAGAAGTAAATGAATCCACACGACTTGTTTCTGCCATCATAATTACCGAGACTCCCTTGCATTGCCCACCCTCCAGCCATCCTGCATGCGGTCTCTCCAAAGCCCCCCGTTTGCCCTGCACCAGCCCAGGAAAAACGTTTTGCCCCATTGTCCGCCATGTCAGCACGGCATCTGAGGAGATCAAATCTTTAACGCCTCACCTACGAGTACGAATTCAAGTTTTAGCTTTCCAGCTGGGGCGTCCATGTTTGGTTCCATGCTCTGGGAACACTTTGGGCTCAGGGTGGCCGCCCTAAACCACGTCCTCAGCGGCGTCTCGGAGCTTCTCTGAAGGACCGAAACTCGCTGCGGCGCCCTTACAGATATGATGTCAATTAATGCAAGAGCTTCCACCAACTTCCAGCATGCGACAGTCTAGAGTAGTGTATACCGACGACCGCTTGGCCGGATCAATATGGCTAAGGCTGTTGAGCCTCCGGCAACCTCGTCGACACCGGGATCTTCGTCTGGAAGCTTCTTGGATGGACCAAGACGAGCCAGTGCACCCTGACAGGCTCAAGCCCTACCCACATTGCAGAGACTAGACGGCAAGACATGTCCAGACCTCGATTACTGCGATCTGCGACGGCAACCCAAGTACCCCAACCAAATGGAACTACAATATGCGCCAACCTCCCAATCCCCCAACCCCGCCTCCCCCGCAACCCACATGCCCAGCCCAAACGGCCCACACTCAGATCTTAACGGTGCTTGCTGTGAGTTCTTTACTGACTGAAAAGACAGCTTACAAACAAAGAGGCGATGTGGTGCGGACAGAGAGTACGTTAGATTCTAACAGATTTACGTTGGGCTGCGATAGTTGCTGCGTGCATGTTTCCATGGGGTTCACACTCAACATGGCGTTGACGTCCCAGCCTCCCATGCGAGGTTGGTGGGTGCTGTAGGACTCATTATTCTTTCTGCACTATTCACTAGTCAACTTTCCAGCATAGACACACAGAGGTGCTGAGACTGGCATGAAAGCATGCACACTAGAGCAGTACTTGACATTTTTGTTTGGAGTGAGAACGAGCGCAAGACATTATGCCACAAGGCGAACTTGCAAAACAGGTCAGACCAATCCCCGAAAGGGCGTTGCCAGCCTCCTCGCCAGAGCTCGTTGCGGAAGAGACCTGGCAACCAGAACTCATTTGGAAATAGTGAAAGGATAAGGCACGTCTCTCTACAACGATGAGCCATGCACGCCTCCGATGGACTTATCTCACCACTTGAAGCTTCGCGGTATTTGTGCTGTGCACGCAGTTCGGCCAGACTTGCCGAAACATCCTGCAGACTGGACAACTCCATCTGCCGAAGCCACAATCCACAGCTTGACAAACTCGTTCTTGCCTCGAGCTCTCGACTCGACCCAAGATGCAACCGCGGTACCTCCGACATAGCCGGCGTGGTGCAACTCAACTTCCGTGCCCAGCCCTTTCCGGAGCACTAACTCCGTTGCCCTCGAGCACGCTTCCTACAACTCCAGACAGCACGCCTGCTGTCTTTCATGGAGAATTGCAAAGGCCAGGATTCCAAAGCATGCTGAACTCCAGCTCTCAACTACTCCCTGTGCGCAACCCTGGCCGATGGTGGAAAGAGTCCTCGCTTGAAGCAATGTTGGGCATCGTAACGGATCTCCGCACCTGCCTCCTTCGCACCGCACGTACCGTCGCTTGACACGGCTCCTTGAATGCTCCGACTTCCCTCTTCCGACTGCGCCTCTTACGCTGGAGTGGCCGCCGCTGCCTGCAACACGATCAATCACACGATGAAGTTCCTCTCGAGCTCAAGCGCCTGCGCAATGCTTGTTCCTCCTGACAAGTAGCAGAGGCAGGACGAATCTGACATGCTATGACATGCAGGGCTCCTTCTCCTGGAGCAAGCGACGGACTGCTTTCAAGTCCTTCCAAGACTATGCTGGATCCAAGTTAGAACTTGTTGTGCGCTGATGCTGCGCGCGCATGTGGTCTCGAGCGTCGTGCCTGTGCTTCGTCGTGCTACTGCTTCTCCACACTCGGAGCTCACTGTGAAGCCCCAGAGGATGCGACAACTGCATCCCGTGGTTGAAGTAGCAAGAACCAGGCACCCAGCCCCCGGATTTACTAAAGCCTCTTGAGCAGCAACACCACTGAACTCCAAGAGAGAACTGTCACCTGTGCAGGGCATTCTGGCCGGAAGGCCAATGTTAAACTTACACGCAGGTAACTCTAAACAGTTCGGAATGTCACAGCCAGTTCAGAACAATTCAGGTCCGTCTCGAGTCGCGTTGCAATGCGTTGCAAACCACTGTCCTCTCTATCAAGGTTCCGAAGATGCAAAATCAGCTTGATCATGTTCGACTTATTCAAGGCTTCCTTCGGTAAGGTCATACTCGTGGAAGCCCTGCGGCTCCAACCTCAAAAAGCTCGCGAGGTTTTGCTGCAAGAAACTCATGTGCGCGGCTGTTCAGCGACTTCAAAGCTGAAAACACACTGACGATGGACGAATGAACTACTGTAACAAACAGGCACCTCACGCCAACACACCAACGGTCTGAATGCCCTGGCAGACGTTTAGAGAACGAGAGGGGGCTGGGACCTCACGAACTGATGTGACGAACCTGGGAGAAGGTTGGATTGCTTTGTACCGCTTTCCTAAACACGAATTAACGTTCACAATAAACAAAACAACGACCGATCGAAAAATTGAGTATTTCAGAAGCCGAACACTGCTTTATTGCAACCTCTGCTTGGTGCGGAGAAACCTTGACAACAGCTCCTGTGTGTTGAGGAGCCTCCAAAATTCGGAGAAGCCAAACGAAGACTTGCGGTTTGCGCCGCATCCGTGACTGCACGAAGATTCTTCACGGGGCTTCCGGCCAAAACCTAGGCCAGAGCCAACATGCAGGGGCGATCGAAGCTTCACCATTCTTCGAAACCATCAGTTTATAGAGCCCGAATAGCCCCATACGAGCGGTGGGCTTAAGTCCCAACAAGTCGCTTTTAGTCACAACATCTCCAAGGCCATTCCCCGGTCCGCTTTTAGTCACATGAACAAAAGCGCAACCCCATGTGCACATGGCCCGGATGTGGGCTTCAGCACATGTTAGGGAATGAGTAGACTGTCTGCATGCCACAGGTATTCGGGCCTTTGTGGACATCAGCTCATACATGAGTCGAATAAGCGCAGGGGCCCGCTGGGGGCAAGTCGACCCAGGCCGCATGAAGTCGGTTCACCCCAGACGTCGCGATTCGCTTGAAGCCGACCCAGTGCTCGGTGCTTTTCGGTACGAGACGACTTCCAGCGAATTGCCTTCTGAGCGTGTGGCATCCGAGCCCCATGTAGATGCCACACAGACTCGCAAACAGTGCTGCGCACGTCTGAAACGTCGAGCTTCCCGGCATGGCTGATGATCTGCAACCAAGGCTTGTGGACATCCCCCAGGGCACACTGCATCGATGCGACTCAACTTAACCCTTGGGCCCAGTAGTGTTTTCTATGATATTCGATTCATGCGGTTATTCAGATGCTTATCCCAGTCTTATTCTGGAGCGCGGGTCCTATCGCAGACTGCCATCCTAAACTTTATCTTGCCAACTACGATGAAAGCGAAGCTGATCCGTGTCCTCCAAGAACTGTTGCCAAATGCCAAAGAGCCTCAAGTCTCTGCAGGCATTTGACATAATTATCCTGGAGATCGGGGTGCTCAATTTTAGGTGCACACTCATCGCTCGGCTTGCGGTGATCAACATCAATGTGAAGCCTTCACCATCAAAGCGCTCAAAGTGCCAGTCCAATCAAGGGGCACGCGTCCACTGGCAGAACGGAATCCCGAGAGCCGAACCACTCACACAGCTCTTCGTATTTGCTGTTCACGATGCCTGCAGAATCTGTTGGAGAGGCAGTAAGTAACAATGCTCCATCTTGTGACACGTCGCCGGGGGCTTGCAAAGCTTAAGTGCCCTCTTCGCTGCAGTGAATAAGCTGTTCGAAGCAGAAAAAGGAACAGGAACAGCATTGAGCGAGGTTGATTTTTGTAAAGTTTTCTGTTTTTGCTGATGATTTTTGTTCTGGTGTTGCTTGCATTTACTGTGGTTTTCGGAACATGGCCCCCTGGTCCTGCCTGGGCTCCTCGTCTGCTCGTAACTCGTTTTTGTGCATTTTTTGGTTGGATTTTCGGGTTTCAGGCTTTCACGCGCCTCTCAGCGGAACCTTGTCTCGCGAACCTGACCGATTCTAAACTCATGCTCATCCTTTTGCGCCGCGAGCTTGGGGCGTCGGGGGGGCGATTGCCCGCTGGCGGTGTCAGGATTGAAAAACTAGGCTTGCGGGCTGGGTGAGGAGGTAATTACCTCGCAAAAAGTTCTTGGGGGCTTGCGTTGGCGATTCCGGTTCATAATCATCATATATATATATATGTATATACGTACTTGAAAGTACAAATATCTTCTTAAACACGCCCTTTCGTTTGGCGATTCTGGTCATCATACATCCCAAGCACGCCCCCTCACATGGCGATTCCGCGTCATGCTATATTTGAAACACGCCCCCTGATTGGCGATTCACAGTCATCATATATCTTTAACACGCCGCCTCATTTGGCGATTCCGGTTCATCATCCTTTTCTGTCCAACGCAGCAAGGGAGTCCTTGTCTAGCGCCGCCTTCAGCATGCACCTTGGCATGTCGGTTGCTCAAGGCAGCTAGGCACTAGTGCCCACATAGTGGGCGAGCCATCAAAAGAGTTGCACCAGTGCCGTGACACGGCTTAAAGAATTGAGCTCGCGTGGATTCTGAATCTCACTCGTCCATGTCTTCCAGAGGGATTGGAGTTTGGGATTTCGCATCATGCTGGGTGTTTTCTGGGCACTGGTTACAGTGGCTATGCACTGAAGCTTCTGTTCCAGGATCTGCAGCCTTGTCCGAGCGTCCAGTGGGATTCTCTGTTGTTTCCTCAAGTCCGCCTGAAGCCGTTGAATTGTATTCTCCTGGTTCTGCAACCGCGTCGCCGCCGAATCCAGATTGCTTTGTGTGAGAGCCAGACGCCGTATGGACATGGTTCGAGATGTAAGCAGCCGGTTCAGTGAGAGCAGCTGACGATCGAGCGAGAATCAAGATTTACATGTTGCATTGCAATTCAGCACGTGAGCTTGCCGTGATCCGGCATGGACTTTTTTCATCATCAAGCTCCGCAAACTTTGCTCGGCATCGGTTTCTGAATCAACTTGCACCATGGTGTAGTGTCCACTATCTACCGCCTGGCCATGATGCTGTATGGAATCCACTACATGGCACTTAACACAAGTGACCGCAAGTTCAGTCCCATCTGCATAGATCGGCACCTTTGATTTGTGCAGTGATAGATGTGCTTGCCGTTGGAAACACGACTGCCTACCTGCACAAAGCGCGGGAGCTGAAGAAACAGCCAAGGATCCGGCCTAGTCAGCCTAGTCAATGCATGCATTGCATCCTGGCTAAACCAGAATTGGACGAGGTCCTGAAGAGCGGGCTTATGCCGTGGTGGCCTAATAAGCCTGATGCACTTGGCCGACAGTCCTTCAAACTGCTTTTGCACCCCTTCAGACGTTTGCCGCCTGCTCTCCACCTTTCCGACAATGCGTAGCACCGACAGGTGAGGGTTCAGGAAGTCCATCAACTCCGGGACGTCATGTTGTCTCTCGGGGCGTGACCACCCCAGGAGCTGAAACCCAAAAAGGTGACGAGCCATCAAGCGCTCGTCCATATCCCCGTGTACCTGAGGTAGCAAGTTGTGCACGTGGCATCGTCTGGAAGCAGTCCAGAGTGCATACAGATACGAGTTAAGGTTGCAGTGATTGCCGGGGTTGGCTAGGCGAAAAGGTGGGACATGCTGAGGCATCGACGCAGCTGCTTGCTGCGCAGGTGTCGCCTTCGCCTTGCTGCTCGTCACCACTTGTTGCCGTGTCCGCGGAAGGCGAGGTCTGCTATCTGCTCTGCTAGTTTGGATCTCTGCCCTGATTCTCTCTTGATCGAGACCCCGATCAGGTGTGTCATCGCACTGTTCACCAGCTGTAGGAACATGGAGTGAACGTCGCGAGACTCCTGACCCCTCAAGGACACCTCGTCGAGAAAGAAGGTGGCACTCTGGTGCCTCCAGGCGGTAGAGCGGCTGTGTCAATCTGAACCGCCAGTGGCTGTTGGCGTAGTCGCTCTGGCCGCTGACCCGGAGAGCTGCGCAGCCCTCCAACTGCCGCAACAGCGTGTGCACTCGATCTGCATCTCCCCTGATGCTCAGACACAGCAGGAATGGCAAGGTGTCGCTCTCGACCGGTTCGGTGAGTGGCCTCATACTGTGGAATCGATGAACCATGAGCTCCTTTCCTTCCAGAAACATCTCCTTCAGCTCTCTGGCCCGGCATATGAGCCTGCGGCACTGGTTCCTTGGTAGCACCCGGCTGTATCTTCTGCTCCTCCGGATTCCATGCCAAGTACTGCCAGTGAAGCTGGTCCACCTTTTTGATCGCCCATCCGTGCTTCACCAGCGGCAGCGCCTCGCATGTGTTGGGATCCGCCTCCATCTTCTCCAGACGATTGCACCACTCCAACGCCATGCAGTTCAGCAGCGTGACGCGAGGAGATGATGTCACCTGTGGTGGGGCTTGAGCTTGCTCGCCTTCCATGTCTGCGCCACATTGTACATCATCTTTAACACCCCGTGCTCGCCCTGATCCATGTGCAGCAGAAACTGCCTGTCTGCTCGCAAGATCTGCAGTTCCTCTTCCTGTTTGAGGCTCAGACGTGCGATCATCACCAGGAGGTTGTTGACGTCTGTGCCGTAAGAAGTCGGCGATGGTGCCCCGCCCCACCTGTTGCCTTGTTGTGGCACTCCGCCGTGCCCCTGCCGACCCCTTCGTTGATGAGGTGTTCTGGTCGATGTGGGCTCCGATGTTGGCCTGGGTCGCTTTGCCGCTGTCTGCTTGGATCGACCGGTCTGGTCGCTCTTGTCCTGGCCCCGTCTGTTTCCAATCGCAGTTCCTAGGGATGCAACCAGCGATGGAAGACACGGCTTGAAAACGTCCTATATTTCCTGTTCCGCCGCCATGGCTGCCGTCGTCATGCTGAATGTGAGGTCCCGCAGACCAATGCCGACTGGAAGATTTCATGACAAGACTGCGCATGCAGTTCGTTGCGCTTGTGTGTACCAGCACAGAACTGACAGGTTTTGTGAAGACCCCTGGCCCATGCCGCAGGCAACATGCTTATCTGTGATGCCGCCTCTTGCCACAGTTGAGGACGTGCCATGCTCATGTGCTTGCGAATGCCTCTGCTGGTACACTGCACACTTCAAACCCCAAGATTGAATCTTTGCTAGAGTTGGCAATGTGCCGAAGGTGTTCACCGCAACCAGGCGAAGTCTTCCTGTATGCCCTGAAGCTGCTCTGCGTCCGCGGACTTCTTGGAGTTGTCGAGCATGCCCGGACCTGTCCATGGACGCTGCGAGACAAGCTGAGTATTGAAGTCGCTTCCTGCGATGAGGTAGCTACCTTGAGGAATGTGCCCCAATGTTGCGCGGATCTTCTGCCACAGCTCCGCCCTCCGTTGCAGAATGACATCATGGTCCGAAGCTGAGCCCCATGCGTACTGATAAATAAATAAATATAAATATAAATAAATATATATAATATAATATA